CAGAACGTGGCAATGCCCAGGCAACTGCAACATCCCCGCTTGCATCCAGTCAGATTTTTTAGTTCCCCGTGCGCTGGCCGAGCTGGAATCGCGACCAGGGCAGTGGCTGAGAGGCTTGCTGCCCAAGGAATGGCCGAGGGTTCCCGGTCCTCCGGAGGAGATGATCGGGCTTGTCGCTTCCGGCCACCCCGTCAATGAGGCTTGGCAATGGGGGGATTGGCTTGTTGGGGCGGGTGACGCGTCGGGTGGTCCGTACTCTCGGGACAGACGCCTCAGACGGGTGAGTTGGGCCACGCTCATTTTCAATGCATCCGGCAGCTCTCCGGAGGCTCTGGAGACCCAGGCTTTGGAGCGTGCCCACGGAGAAGGGGGAGGGCTCCCAGGCTTCAGGCAGTCAGTCAACAGGGGCGAGCTTTTCGCATTTTTGCAGTTTCTTGAACGCAGCGGTTCTTGCGGAAGGCTTTTATATGTTGTGGATTCGGACTACGTGCGAAAAGGAGTAGCTCGGGAGATGCGCGGGCGCGTCAAGCCCGCAAGCCACATAGATCTGTGGAGCAGAGTGGGAGTGCACCTGCAAAAGAAAACGGTCGTCCCCTGGAAGGTTGAATCCCACCAGGTCCTTGAAGAGGCCCTGGCAGCGGGCACACATCCAGCAGCCTTTCTGATGAACGCTCTTGCTGACAAGCTGGCAGACCACATCAGTCTGAGCGTGCAGGTCGCACAGGCAGATATAGCAGCACTTGCCGTCGCGGAAGGAATTTCGCAGAAGGTGAGATCCAGAATAGCCGCCACGTTTTTAGATGCAGTCCAGAAGGACCCACGAGCGAGGCCCCCAAACGCGCGACAGGTGCGAGTTGGGCGCAAGCGTGGGCAGAAGCTGCAGCAGGCGATCGACGCCTCCCAGCACAATGTACTTTTTGATGCGGCCGGCCACTTGAGATGTGTCGTCTGTCGTTCCACTGTGAGTCGTTCGGTTGCACACGAATGGCTGGCCACGCCGTGCTCCCAGCCTGCGGTCTCCTCCAGTCCTGCGAAGCCGCGGATTGAGGGGGCAATTGTAGGCCAGCAGAGAGTGCACGACTCGCACCATGTGAATTACTCAGAAGAGACAGGGTATCTTTACTGCACAGTCTGCGGCCAAGTAGGAAAGAGAAATATCATTGGTCTGGCCAAAGAGTGTCCAACGCATGCGTCGAGCAACGGCAAAGACAATTTGGACAGGTTGGGCCAAGGATTGAAGCCCAGGCGATAGCAGGGGAGGGGGGCCCTGTCGTGTTCCACGGTGTGCAGCCCAGTCAAGCCGCACCGTGGGGCGAAAAAAAGAGATGGGCCCCCCTTCAAGCGGCGAGAGCCGAGCTGAGATGAAACCAGTTCCTTTTTCAGGCTGATGGCCTCACAGGAAAAACAAATCCTCCCCCTCCTCCTGCTCCTCCTCCTCCTCCTCCTCCTCCTCCTCCTCCTCCTCCAACCCCCCCTCCACCCGTTCCGACATCACGTGCCCAACCCCCCCCAGCGGATCCAAGGGGGGCGATTACAGATTGCCCCATCCAGAGTGCACAGCATGACAACCCTGTATTCGCCAGCGTCGCCTGCTTTATCAGCGACTGTGCCACCGAGGCCGCTGATGAGGTTGGAACTTTGGTTGGTGGCCGCGACGGTAGTTCCAACACGGATCGGTGGTCGAAGCGGTTGGTGGCTGACCGCGCGACGGCCGTGAGGCTGCGGTGGTGGTGCGGTACGGCTGCAGCGTGGCGGGGCTGGCGGACCGCTGGGACCGGCAGCGAGGGCTGCGGCCCCAGGGGTGCGGGGTGACTGTGAATCTGGCGGTGTGGGAGGGCGGGTGTCATCGTTGGTCGTCGTCCTCGTCAACAGCTCCTCGGCCTCCACTCCGCGTGGGGCTGGCACCCCAGCATGCGGCCACGGCATTAGCCACGGCCTGGCAGAGCCTCTCTGAGAGGGCTCGGATGCTCCAGAGTGTCGGGCCGAGTCACCAGTGCTGCGGGCGCGGTAAGAAACACACAACAGCACACGCTCGGGCACGCGTGCTCCGCGGGCGAGGGGAGGCAGGCGAGGCAGCTGTGAGATCGGCCTCGTCGCCGTCCGCCTCGTCGCCGCCGACAGCGCCGGGTGCGAGCCTCCCAGTGGCTATGGCCACCCGAGGCCAGGCGCGACGCGGGAGCGGGCCAGCGGCCAGGGCGACCAGGCCCGTGGGGCGGGCGCCAGAGGCCGCACCCCCCCCCCCCGCAGCGGGCTCGCCGCAGCGTCCAGCGGAGCGCGCCGCTCCGGAGGCGGCGCGCTGGGAGCTGCAGAAGTCGTGCGGGCCTCTCGGCGGAGCGCCGGAGCAGTAGGCTGCAGCCATGTGGGCTGGGGACGTCTCCGTCACGGCCTCCGCCGTCCTCTGCGGTGGCGGGGTCCCCAGTGCGCCCGCATGCAGAGACGGGAGGGGAAGGACGGGGGACGCAACAGCAGTGCCCGAGGCCGTGGTCGACGGGCACGGTTGGAGGAAGCGAGGGGCCGTAGGGGTGCGCCGAGTCAGGCGGAACTCGGCGCCCGCCAGGGCGGGGGCCTCCTCGTCATCCTCGTCGTCCTCGTCCTGCGCTGGGACGGCTGGAAGGAGGGGCAGGAGGAGGAGGATGAGGAGGAGGAGGAGGAGGAGGAGGAGGAGGAGGAGGAGGGAGGAGGAGGAGGAGGAGGAGGAGGAGGAGGAGGAGAATGGAGGATGGAGGATGCAGGAGGGAGTGGGCGGAGATCGACCGTGGAGCCACGGTGGGTCGGCTGACGGGGGGGGGGGGGCGGGAGCGGGTGCCCAGCCCCTGCCGCTGTGGCCTGGGACGGGCGTCCCAGCCAGAGGTGGCGGAGGGGGCGACGGCCCTGACGGAGCCTCACGGACGGGGCTCGCAGATGCCAGGCGAGCGCCGAGCAAGAACGGGTCCTACGCGAGGCGGCACGGCGACCTTGCGCGGTGGCTTGCGCGAGCCACCGGCGCGGCACTCCACACTGGAGGCGAGGGCGCTGACGCGCGAGCTTGCGTGGGCAGCTTGCGCGCAAATGTCGGCGCAGACGACTTCCTGCTCTTCCTCCTCCTCCTCCTCCTCCTCCTCCTCCTCCTCCTCATCCTCCTCCTCCTCCTCCTCCTCCTCCTCCTCCTCCTCCTCCTCCTCTTCCTCCTCCTCCTCCTCCTCCTCCTCCTCCTCCTCCTCCTCCTGCTCCTCCCCCTCCTCCTCGTCGGCTGAGGACCTCCGCGTGCCCTCGGCGTGCGTGGGTCGGGAGAGACGTGGATCGCACCCGGGGCGGGCGGGTCGGTGGGACCGTCGGCGCAGATGGAAGCGGCCCCCGCGGAGGGGGCTGGCTGACCGGCGGGAGCCGCAGCGCGAGTAGCAGCGGAGACAACGCGGAGAGCTTTTCAGAGCCCGTGCGAAGCTCCGGGAGCAGCGCGCACGTGCGCACACGGAGAGTCCGTTCGGAGCTCGTGCAGAAGCACGCCGCGGCGGGCGCATTCGTCAGGGGGGGGATCCAGGCGCACGTCCCCGTGGACGTCGTCTGGGACTGTTCAGGGTGCGTGCACCCTTGGACATTGCGTGGGGCGGTGTTGATCAGCACGACGATCGTGGCGCAGAAGCAGGGGAGGAGGGTTGAAGAGCGGCACGTGCATGGTGCAGGCATCACCGATGCGAGTCAAGTCTCCGAGGCTGCCAGTAGGGAAGGAAGTCCCTGGAAGCACGCATTGCCTGGGTGCGGCATCTGGGGGAGGAGGGACGAAACTGGTAACGTTCAGGTAAGCGCTGATGTTAAGCGAATCCAACCTGATCGTGGAGAATTTGAAGGAGGGGCCCCGCAGGGTGGTACCTGATGCCTGCGCGTGCTCCACAAGGGAGCCTGAGCCCAGGCTAGAGAGAGAGAGGGAGAGAGAGAGAGGGAGAGAGACAAAGAGACTCGGGCCCATCGGACCGCGGATCACTACCAACGACCGCGCGACCGATCCGCGTTGCCAAGCCACCGCGCCGACCGTTATGACGACTGCAGCGAGGCACGGGTATTCGAACGATCCACTGTCATAGCGGCAGGGCCAAGCCGAGATCACATCGAGGGTCCAGCGATTGCTAAAGGCCTGCTGAAACTGACATGATTGTGATTACCTTTCTGTTGCTCCCATCGTACTTAAGGGCCACATCCCCAACATAATTTTGAGCACCCAGAAAAAAAGTAATGAAGCAGTGTCTGCGAAGTGTCGAACGAGTGTCGCCTCCCAGGGCCCGCCACGTGAAAGCCCTCCAGTTTAGGTACTTTCTTGGCGCTCCAAGTTCTTCCTGGTGATCGATGCTAAAGCAGGTTGAGACATCATGAGATTGTGTGTATATCTCATATACACATATATATATATATACACCCTCTCCCCCTCTTCTTCACCCTCTTTGGGCATACATCCTCATGATCCCCCAAAACTGGGAATATGTCCCCATTCTCAGCGTCCCTCTAACGGGGACTCCACTAACGGGCACTTTGGCCAGTAACCCAGCGAACACCAATCCTCCCCGATGTGGGCAGCGCTGCAATGCCAGAAAGAGAGGCCCCAAAGTGGCAACTTTCGGCAATTTCCCAAAGTACCCTTTGTGAGTACCCGTTACGGCGCCGCTGACATTCCTTCCTGGCGGCCTGGCTGAGGAGGAGGAGGAGGAGGAGGAGGAGGAGGAGGAGGAGGATCGGAGGAGGAGGAGGAGGAGGAGGAGGAGGAGGAGGAGGAGGAGGAGGAGGAGGAGGAGGAGGGGAGGAGGAGGAGGAGGGAGGAGGAGGATGGGAGAGGAGGAGGAGGGAGGGAGGAGGAGGAGGAGGAGGAGGGAGGAGGAGGAGGAGGAGGAGGAGGAGGGAGGAGGAGGAGGAGGAGGAGGAGGAGGAGGAGGAGGAGGAGGAGGAGGAGGAGTGAGACGGCTGCGCGAGAAGCAACCGCGAGATCGACGCTCCCGACTGGTCGCCGGGCCAGCGGCAGCAGCCGAGCCCGCGGCGTAGGTCATCTGGGCGTCCTCCGCCCCGCACCAGCTGTCCCACGTGATCTTGCGCTGCATGCAGCCCGCCTCGAGGAGGAGGAGGAGGAGGAGGAGGAGGAGGAGGAGGAGAAAGAGAAGGAGGAGGAGGAGGAGGAGGAGGAGGAGGAGGAGGAGGACGAGGAGGAGGAAGAGGAGGAGGACTGTGTCTTTAGCCCCTTCGGACAACGGCCGAGCAAATGCAGACAGAGAACGCGGTGGATTCGAAAAGCTCACCGCCAAGGGGACGGGGCTCTTCAAGATGAGGCCGCCTAGCAGGCCAAGAGCGCCACACGAGTCAGCCTGTTCAGAGGGAGGGGAATGGGAGGGACGACCACGAGTAAAGGCCCCGGACTCGGGCAGAGGGGTGCATAAACAATGGCGTAAGACCCTGGCAGATGAATGAGAAGGCAATGGCCCCGGAGTAGGGCGGAGGGGAAGGAGGAGGAGAAAGGCCAGAGCGACCCAAGCGCACATCCCCTGAGATCCGACGTTTCGAAACAAATGCAATATCGCGAAAAGTCACATGAAGAGTCCTAGATCCCATCTCTGCGCCATTCTTTGAGCCGGATCGTTATGTGATGGTCCCGGGGCCCGAAGCCCAGCAAAAGTTCCTGTTGTGAGAAATTCTGCAACTCACAGATCTGAGGGTCCCTGGTACTGCGACGCAACCTGCTGCGCCAGAAGCCCCCTGCGTCCAAAGTCGTACGGCCAGGAACTCTTGAACAGCGCTTCGCGGCGGTGGCCCCGGCGACGCGCCGCCCCCTGCAGGAGGGCAGTGCATCGCCACGCGCTGCGTGCCGGGAGGCCTCGAAACTCTCGGCACGCTGGCGCGGGGGGCCCGGGAGGTGCACAGCGTGCCGCGCCGAGGCGTGGTGGCCCGAACTGGCGGAGCGACGCGCCGTCCCGACCGTGCTCGGTCCGCCCGGCGAGCGCCAGCTCGACCACACGGAAGAAGCCCCGTGGGCCTGCTGAGAGGGGCCCCGGGGGCGTGGCGGGCTCGTCCTTGTCCTCATTCTCCTCCTCTTCCCCCTCTCCCCTCTTCTTCCTCCTCCTCCTCCTCCTTCTCCTCCTCCTGGTCCTCCTCCTCCTCCTCCTCCTCCTCCTCCTCCTCCTCCTCCTCCTCCTCCAGGTGGGCGGGGCCCTCTGCGAGGCCCGACGGGAAAACGGCACTGCGTGGCGCACGGGAGCAGCTGCCTGCTCGGCAGGGGGGGAGGAAGGGGAGGATGAGGAGGAGGAGAATCAAGGGGCCCCAGGACACACAAATAAATACACACAAATAAAATAATTCCCCATATTTTCCAATATTTTCTGGGTTTTTGTCTTCCCGCCCAATTCCCATATTTTCCTATATTTTCTGGGGGGTCGACGATTAATTGTGTCTGTGTGTTTCTTCCCCTCCTGAGAGAAGGCGGAGGAGGAGGAGAATTCTGCTGGATTCTGCTGCTCGTCTACACACGTCGCCAGCTCCTCCATCCCTCTCGTCGCTGCCGCCACCGCCGCAAGGGAAAAACCCGCGGACAGACTGGCGAAGCGCCTCCCTCGCCGCGGCACCGACCGTGACGGCGCCGTCATTGGGGGTGCTGCGCCGCCGGGTGGCTCAGAGTTGCGTACCCTCTGCAGTGGGGGTGCATGCTGCATGGGCAGTGGCAGCGTGGACAGATGCGCGCAACTGCAATGAAGCACGGACACGGGTGTGACGTATCGCAGCAGTGGAGGGAGGGTCATAGCGTGGGGCTCAACAGGAGGAGCGACGGGTAGACGGCACTAAGCAGTTGGCGGTCGAGTGCCTCTCGTCTCTGAGTGCAGGTGCCCCTGTCTCAACGTTTGCGGGCTGCGCGCTGGAGAACGGGCTGGTTCTGCGGAGATGAAGTCCGAAGGTGGGGACATCTCAACCAAGCTTATCAGGGAACTTGAAGGCCAATGCTTGCTGGAATGCTTCGCGTTGCCCAGGAGCGTGGTCTGCCATCTTTTCTCCGCTGTTGGCCAAGAAGGAAGGGACCCTGGGACGCACAAATAAGTAGACACAAACAACAGGATTCCCCACATTTTCCTATATTTTCTGGGTTTTTGTCTTCCCCCCCACTTCCCAAAGTTTCCAACATGTTCTGGGGAATCGACGATTCATTGTGTCTGTGTTTTTTCCCCCTCCTCATTGAGGGGCAATGTTTGCTGGAATGCCTCGCGCTGCCCAGGAGCGTGGCCTGCCATCTTTTCTCCGCCGTTGGCCAAGAAACAGCGCGGCACGTTCAATCGGCCACTTTCCTACGCTTGCTCGGCGGGCCACGAAGAGTGTCCAGGGGAACCTCGAATTCCACACAGTACATGATCTTGTTGGGGGCAACGTCGCGGACGTTCACCACTTTGATGCCGGGGGGCAGAGCGCCCAACGCTGCCTCCACGCGGGGACAAATCTCCTCGTGGGGAGGATCCTTACGCGCAAAACAGTAACAATGAATATGGGTAGGGCCGGGTGTTTGATCTTCGGGACAGATTCCGCTGAAGACGTCCATGAAGTCCAGCGCCAGCTCGGGGAGGTTCATGATGGCATGCACCGCCGTAGTGCGCGCCGAGCTGAACAAGCCCGCCGCGCTCGCGACGTTCCGCACGAACTCGCGCGCGTCCAGGTTGTGCACCTCGACCCACGGCTCCAGCTGGTTTCTTCGGACGTTGTGCCGCTGCCAGTGCGCGCCCTGAGGGTTGAGGTCGTTGCAGTAGACCCTGCAGCCGGCGCTCGCAGCGAAGCAGGACATCGCCCCGATGCCGGCAAACATGTCCAGGACGATCTGTCCCGAGGACAGCTGCTGGAGGACCCGCTGACGCTCCTGGCTGAGGCGCGAGTTCCAATACACCTCGCTGTAGTCCAGGTCGAAGGACATGCCCTGCTCCTTCACTGAGGTGAGGAAGCTGGGCTCGCCCGCCAGGACCTCCATCTTGAAAGTGCGGAACTCGTTGGAGAGCTCGCCCACCTTGTTAACCACCGTGCGGAGGCTCCTGTTTTTGTCCAAGACCACGCGGCCGATAAACTCCTTGAAAGGCTCGTGCGCAGCCCGCAGGTTGAAGTGGGCGATCTGGCCCACGGTCTCGAAACTGGTGGGCACCTCAACGCCGTCTGGATCGGCGGCGCGCTCAGGGGGGGAAGTGAGAAGGAGAGGCCTTCTCAGAAGGCTGCGGGACATCTCAGAAGGCCCTCCAGCCTTCTGAGGAGGTCTCTGCGTCTTCGGGGAAGGCTCAGAAAGCTCCTGGAGGCCGGGGGGCTTCCGAGCCCTCTGAGAAGGCCTTCTCCTCCTCGCCTCCCCCCCCTTTGCTCGCCGCCGTCTGGAAGCACACAGGCCAGAGCCTCCTCGGCCGACAGGTGCTCGTAGCTCACCACCACGTCGTGCGTGGCGCTCTGCGCCCGCCCCGAGTCCAGCATGCCCTGCACCGCGGCCCAGGCCTCCGCGGGGAGCGTCCGCTCCAGGCACCCCGGACGGACCGCCTAGCAGCAGGGCTCGACCAAAACGGTTATGTTCGTTTCCGTGCTGGCTTCGTCTTGCCCGGTTTTATCTTCGATCCGCCCTTGCTGCAAAACGACCTCGAAACGAAAAAGGCCCACGAGATCGCCAAAACTTACCAGCCTCGAACGTATCCCTATCCCTAAGATTGACACGCCAAAAGGTGATGACAATCGTAGGGATTCGCCCTCAAAAATAAGGGAATCCCTAAGATTGGCATCGTGATGAGGAGGTGCCCAGCATAGGGATAGGGATATGTTCCAGGCTGGTAAAAAAAAAACCGTGCAGGTTTTAGGCCGAGCCCTGCCTCGCAGAGCAGGACCAGTCGCCTGCCCGCGTCGCCCCCGGGGTCCTCGACGACGTTCTTGACCCCCCTCCGCTTGAAGAGCACGTCCTTCAGCGCCGGGTGCTTGTTCACCTTCGCGATGTCCTGGCTCGGGGGGAGCAGGCGGGGGCGGGACTGGCTCAGGGGGAAGCACACTACTTGCACAGGGCCGACGATACGTCGCCGATGGATCGGCGGCAGGCCTCCACAAGAGCGACACCACACGCCCCTGGGGGGGGGCTGGAGGGGCCCAAGCCCCGATCGGCGATGCATGAACAGATCGGAGGTCGGCGAACCCCCCCCCCCCCCTACCCACCCCGGGCCAGCCCCCCCCCCCCGCGCCGCCTCGAGCGCGGCCCGAGCGAAGCCTTCCGTGACGAGCAGCCTCCGTGGCGTCCCCCGCGCGCTCCAGGCCTCCCGCCAGCCGCAGACGTACCTCCTCCTCCTCCTCCTCCTCCTCCTCCTCCTCCTCCTCCTCCTCTCCTCCTCCTCCTCCTCCTCCTCCCTCCTCCTCCTCCTCCTCCTCCTCCTCCTCCTCCTCCTCCTCCTCCTCCTCCTCTCCTCCTCCTCCTCCTCCTCCTCCTCCTCCTCCTCCTCCTCCTCCTCCTCCTCCTCTCCTCCTCCTCCTCCTCCTCCTCCTCCTCCTCTCCTCCTCCTCCCCCTCCTCCTCCTCCTCTCCTCCTCCTCCTCCTCCTTCTCCTCCTCCTCCTCCTCCGCCTCTCTCCTCCTCCTCCTCCTCCTCCTCCTCCTCCTCCTCCTCCCTCCTCCTCCTCCTCCTCCCCTCCTCCTCCTCCTCCTCCTCCTCCTCCTCCTCCTCCTCCTCCTCCTCCTCCTCCTCCTCCTTGGGGTGAGGCGAGAGGGGCGTCGCGGAAGGGGCCGGTTTGCGAGGGGTCGGTCTTCGCCCCTGACAGCCCTGCCGTTGCCCCTGCTGTCCTGGCAGGGCACCCGCAGCGCGGCCAGCGACAGGCGGCGCTCGAAGCGCTCCGCGGGGAAGCCGGCGGGCATCCGCCCGCCCTGGGCAGAGGCGCGCTGGCCCCACCGCCCTGCAGCGTGCTGGCACCACGGTGCGCGCCGGAGCCCGCTTGGGGCCAAAATGGCTACGGAGGGGGCCTGGTCTGTCCTGGAACGGCAGATGCGCGTGCGTGCGTGCGTGTGTGCGTGCGTGCGTGAGTGTCTGTGTGTGTGTTTGTGTGTGTGTGTGTGTTGTGTGTGCGTGCGTGAGTGTCTGTGTGTGTGTTTGTGTGTGTTTGTGTGTGCGTGTGTGTATTTGTGTGTGCGTGCGTGAGTGTCTATGTGTGTGTGTGTGTGTGTTTGTGTGTGCTTGTGTGTGCGTGTGTGTGTGCGTGTGCGTGTGCGTGTGCGTGTGCGGGTGTGTGTGCGTGTGCGTGTGCGTGTGCGTGTGCGTGTGCGTGTGCGTGTGCGTGTGCGTGTGCGTGTGCGTGTGCGTGTGCGTGTGCGTGTGCGTGTGCGTGTGCGTGTGCGTGTGCGAGTGCGTGTGCGTGTGCGAGTGCGTGTGCGTGTGCGTGTGCGTGTGCGTGTGCGTGTGCGTGTGCGTGTGCGTGTGCGTGTGCGTGTGCGTGTGCGTGTGCGTGTGCGTGTGCGTG